AGAGCCTCAAGCTGTCCCCCTGGATAGAGTGCTATGGCATCACACTCACAGCAACCTCCAACTCCTGGGCTCAAGCGAGTCTCCTGCCTCAGGCTCCCGAGTAGCTGGGACCACAGGCACCCACCACAATGCCCAGCTATTTTTTGGTTGCAGCCATCATTGTTGTTTGGTGGGCCCGGGCTGGATTTGAACCCACCACCTTAGGTGTATGTGGCTGGCGCCTAACCACTTGAGCCACAGGTGCCGAGCCCTTTTGTATTTTTTTAATCTCAATTTTATCCATTCTCTAATCTTTATTCTTTTTTTTCCTTCTACTAATTTTAGGTATGGTTTGTTCTTGCTTTTCTAGTTTCTTGAGGTGCATCATCAGGTTGTTTATTTGAAATCTTTCTTGTTTTTTGATTTAGGCATTTATTGCTATAAATATTGGTAGCCTCTTAATACTGCTTTCACTGTGCCCCATAGGTTTTGGTATGTTGTGCTCTTATTTTCATTTGTATCAACACATTTTTAAATTTCCTTTTGAATTTCTTCCTTCACCTGTTTTTTGTTCAGGAGCATGTTGTTTAATTCCATATATTTGTATAGTTTCAAAGACTCCTCTTGTTATTGATATCTACTTTTATTCCATTACAATCAGATTAAAGATACTGGATACAATTACAATTTTTAAAATCTTTTGAGACTTGTTTTGCCATCCTACATATGGTCAATCCTGGAGAATGTCTCATCTGCTGGTAAAAAGAATGTGTATTCTGCAGCTGTTAGGTGAAATGTTCTATAAATATCTCTTAGGTCAATTTGGTATGGTGTAGTTAAATCTGATGTTTCTTTATTGATTTTCTGTCTAGATAATTTGTCTAACGCTGATGTTGGGGTGTTGAAGTTCCCAATTATATTACACTGGGATCTCTTTGTCCCTTTATATCTCATAATCTTTGCTTTATATATCTGTGGCTCTGATGTTAGGTTTATATATATTTACAGTTGTTATATTCTCTTGCTTAGTAGATCCCTTTATTATGTAATGTTCTTCATTGTCTCTTTCATGGCTTTTGACTCTAAGTGTGTTTTGTTGATGTAAGTATATTTACTGCTGCTCCCTTTTGGTCCCCATTTTTATCAAATATCTTTTTCCATCCCTTCACTTTCAGTTTTTATGTATATTTACAAATGAAGTGAGTTTCTTATAGGTATGCTACCAGTCTACTTCTGTGAGGAATTTAATTCATTTACCTTCAAAGTTATTATGGATAGGTGAAGACTTAACTTCTATCATTTTTTGTTTGTTTTCTAGTTGTTTTGTACAGACGAGAAATAAATCCTTTTTTACTTGCTCTCTCTTGTTCATATTGGCAGTTGGGTGGTATTTTGTAGTGATAAGATTTTATTTTTTCCTCTTTTTCATTTGTGTACTGGCTCTACCAATGAGTTTTATACTTTTATGTGTTTTCATGAAGGTGGTTAGCATCTTTTTATTTCCAGATATATGATCCTCTTGAACATTTCTTGTAAGGCATGAATTACAGTGATGGATTCCTTCACTTTTTGACACTCTGTCAAAATTTTTATTTTTTCTTCATTTTTGAAGGATAATTTTCCTAGGTATAATATTCTTGACTGACAGTTTCTTTCTTTTGGTACTTTGAATGTATCATCCCATTCTCTACCAGACTGTGAGGTTTCTGCTGAGAAATCCACTGTTATTCTAATAGAGATTCCCTTGTATGTGCCTTGCCACTATTCTCTTCCCGCTTTTGGAATACTTTGTCTTTGACCTTCAATAATATAAATAAGAGGACTTGTTTCAAATGAATACATTTGGGATTTTTATGAACTTCCTAGACCTGGATGTCCATATCTTTCTCAATACTTGGGAATTTTTCTTCTTTAATTTCATCAAATATATTTTTCTTACCTTTCCCCTTTTTTTCTCTTTCTGGAATGCCCATAATACAAACACTTGTTCACTTAATGTTGTTCTTTACATCATGTATGCTATATTTATTTATTTTTATTCTTTGTTCTTCTTTATTCTCTTTACCCCAATGACTAGGAACAATTATTTTTTAACTTAAAAAGTAAATTTCATAGCAGAGTTTTTAAAAAAAAATAAATGGAAGCCAAGCCAAAAAAAACAGGAATTATGTACATGCTATTGTCCCAACCCTGGATAGGGCCTGAGAATCAAGGTAGGTCAGTGAAGATGGGCCCTGAATGCTGCTTTTTTTTACTGAGACTCTCTCTCTTAATGAGACTGGCTCTTCTGTCTTCCAGAACCTAGCCCTGGCATGTGCCTTCTTCTTGTCTCACCTACTGGCCCCCATATAAGATATGCTCATTTTCCTGTTATGCCCCCTCACACTCTGTTTTGATTCATCTATGAATAAAGCTGCCCACTCAGCATCCTTTTCACCCACCTGGACTCCTTCTGCCCAATCAAGAGTTCAGGAATTCTTCTTAGGCTGACTCAAATATTTTAACCTGGTTTCCCTGCCTACCTCAAAGTCCAGTTGTCACAACCACCCTCCCTCTTAGTTGACACCCTTTAGAGATGCTCCCTACTGCTGAAAGAATCTAGTTCCTACATCCAACCCCACAAATCAGTCTCCCCAAAAGCTTCTGGGCTTGTAACCACTCTTCCTCTAGGCACTCACAGCATGGACTACTACAAGACTTGGTTGTGCCCCCAGCATTCTCTCTCATTCCTCTGCCTCAAGAGCCCTCCTTCTCATCTCTCCTTTTGACAGGTCATTCTCTGAGCCTGATATCAGCTCTGATAATGCCTCCACAATGCTACCTTCCCTGAAGCCTGACTGGGAAGAATTACCCTAGTCCCAATTTCCCAGAACATTTGAATTGAATCCCTTTCCCCAACACAAAAGCCAGACAGAGTCCCTCCACTCTCTCCATATCACCTGGCACAGTTTGGGGGCTTCTTCACCTCATAAGACCCTGGCCCTCCCTCTCCCAGGCCACAAACTGAACTTAGAGCTAAGCCTAGGTCAAGAGTGACCAGAACCTGGCTCAGATCTCAGCCTAGAGGTACAGGGATAACTTCTATCCATTTCTACTTGGAGCTCAGGACAGCATCAACAGCATGCTCCACCCATCACCAACCTTCTGACCATGAGTTGGTTGGGCCCAGAGCTAGGACATACCATCAGGATGTGCCTGGCCATATTGGGGTGGCTCTGTCATGGGGAGCTTGAAGCCCCCTCTTCCCACCGTATAGGAGGCAGCCAGCTTCCAACCTCGGGGCAGGGAAGGTCTTCTCTAATGGTCAGTTCTCTCCTCTGTCCCAGGAATGTGGCCAGCACAGTGCTTCCAACACAACTTGAGGACCAAATTGGACTCAGGTCCCTGGCTGAGGACCTGAGGTCCCTAGCTGAGGTCCCTGTGCAAAATAATGGACCATGAAAAGCCCAGGCAGATAAGCCACAGATGCAGCCAGTAATATGGCTCTGCAGGGCCCCAGGGCCTGAGCAGGCCAGCCCTCTCCAGGGTTGGGGGTTACTATCATGAGGTTTCAGGTATTGATCCAAAAGGGGAGGGCAGTTCAACTCCAGTTCTTTGAATCCTGGACTTTCAAACATGAGACATATTCCTGAACCACTCTGTGCTTTAGTAAACCCCTCAGTAAACTGAAATTAAAAAAATAGTAGCACCTACTCATAGTCACTGGGAGGACTAAAGCAGTGACAGCATGGAAGGTTCTTAGGTTAGCAACTGGCCCACTCAATCAATATAAATCCTCATTAACATTAAGGTACAAGGAGAATAACTGCAACAAATTGGATTCTCCTCATGGTCCTAAGGAGATGACACAAAGAAGGACTCTTTACCACCTTGTAGAACTAGTCAGTGTTGTCCAGAACACATTGTCAACCACATGCACCAGCACCCCTGGCACCCAGGGACCAAAAGAGGAAATTCAGGGTGACTTGTCTAGAAATGATCTGGGAGACCCGTGGGTACCGTTTCCCTCTGCCCAGGGTATTCCTGCATTGCAGGTGCCCTGACATGGCTCCCTCAGCCACAGTCCCAAGGGGTCACTCTCAAGGGTAAAAACCGTGGCCTTCTGCCCTTTGGGAGGGGCCCTATGCCCAGCTCACCTGGAACCTGCGTGGAAACCACATGAACGGCAACTGGTTGCAGCTTGGTTGAAAGAAGTTGTACATAGGACCCATACTATCCTGTAAAGCAATATGGCCATGAGGAAGCCAGACAGCCTGGATGCTGCCTAAAGACACATCAAGACCCCCCTGCCCCCGACAGCTCTGTTCCCAGGAGCACACAGAGACAAAGTTCCAGACTCCCCTGGGGAGAAGTCTTGGGAGCCTGGTGTGCCAAAGGGTGGTCATTGAGAGTCACAGGTAGTTTTGGAATCTAAAACAAAACAGTATTTTTGGTGTAGGAAGAGGAGAAGCCAGGGGCAGGCTTAGGAGAACAGTCCAAAAGTTAGAGGTACATGTGATGGCTCAGCGGAGGTCCTGAAGGGAAGTGTGAACAGGGGGCCTGGCAGAAGCTTGGGACAGGGGAAGGAGGCCTGCATTAGGTGGCATATGAGAAGAGGGCCGGTGAGAGGCCATTTCCTGCTCTGGAGGATGGGTGCCTAAGACCAGGGCAGAGAAAAGAGGAAGACAGAGTTCAGACCAGAAAGAGGCCCTGCTGGGTGGGCAGCACCAGGGCCCCAGGGCTCTGCAGTCTGGACTTACTGGGCCTTGGACTGGGTGGGGCAGGGGCTGTGCCCTGCAAGCAGGAATAAGCCACTGGCAAGTGATTTCCTCTCTTGGAGGCATGCTTTGGTTTCTCTGTGCCCTCACTCGTGGGAGAGGCAGGCCTGGCTTCCCTGCTGCCCTCTAGGGGGCAGCAGAGCTGGAAGCCACTAACAGGAAGCAAGAGATCCAACCTCAGTCAGAGCCAAGAGAGGAAAGGAGGACGGAAAAACCCTCTGATCTTTGTTGGTTTAACTGCCTCCTTTATTGTCCTGTACTTACCTTGGACCAGATGGCACTTAGCACCCTAGGACTGTTACATCTCCAGTGTGAAATATTAACTATCCCTTTCCGGAAAGAGAACCTCAACAAATCACATTATTGTACCTATGCATTAAGCCTTAGGTAGAAATATGTAGACATTTTGTTAAACTTCCCTGAACTCTGTCTATATGAACAATCCCAAACTGCTACACTTTGAAACACTGACTTCTCTTCCTTACAATCTGTGCTTCCAGATCAGCTCAGCCTCTAACTTTGTGATTGAATAAATTCTCTTTACTCTATATTCTGACCCTTTAATTATTATAGGCTGACATGCACAAACATCCCTGTGACTCAGTTTGTTTGACTCATATAACCACAGGGAGGTGGTTTGAAACCCAAGCCAGTTGGTAGCACCTCTGTGAGTACTAGGAACTGGCCAGATGTCACCCACTATAGCTGTCAAGAAACCTGTGAATTCTTCCTAAAAGGAGCTTCATGTGCAGGACAGGCTAGCGGTGGGGGGACAGGAGCCCTCAACTTATTGCCCTCCCTGGCCTCCAGGGAGGGTGGGCCTCTGGTATTCCCTCAGCACTCAATGGTCACGTCCAGGGCTCATAGAGCCACGCCTGCTTCTGTAGTGTGACCTGACTGTCCCCACCTCCCCTGGTCACAGCCTGGGTGTTGCAGCCCTTCCTCAGAGGATCCTACTCACATGTAGCAGATTCATCCGACACATTCTGCACACTCCCCCTCCTTGCCTGTCACAGCAACTAAGAATCACTGTGGGGCATGCATTAACAGGCTGCTGTGGTACACAGGAAGGTGACGGTGAAGGCTGGCATGATGAATGCTGCAGGTCTGAGAGACTGGAGACCTTCCTCTCTACCCCCTAGGAGAAGAAACACAACCGTCTGTTTCCTTGACCAGTAGACTCTGGGCAGCAGGGACATGGTGTCCATGGACCCTGCCCCTTGCACAGGGCTAGCTCCTTAGCAGACTCTTGTTGAAAGGATCAGTGAGGAGTACCCACCATAGGGGAATGTCTTCCAAGGGAGAAACACACAAACTTCTCCCAGTTTGCAAATATGGTTCTTCCCCTAAAGGCCAATAATTCTGTCCGGTGCCCTGGGTCCTCCTGCAGCCATCTGTGGTGGTGGAAGCCTGTCTTGGAGGCTGGGTGATGGTCTCAGCACTAGCAGGGACCTCCCATGTCCAACTGCTCTGCCTTGTGGACGCAGCACCCCAGGCTCATGCTGCCCACCTCAGAGGCCAACCCTGTGCATGCAGAATGGAGACCAAAGACCTCACCCTCAGTATATGGGGCTGACGCCCTACTCCCTGAGCCACAGGTGCCACCCAGCAGATAGATTTCAAAAAAAGCTCAGTGGAACAGAGATTCAAGGCCACTCACCAGAGCACACGAATGAGTGATGGTCCTCTGAGCTCCCACCTTTGAAAATTCTATTCTGTGTCTCCTGGCTCTCTCTTTATTGTCATTCCTAACTTTATATTTCTGTAGTTGGTAATGCCAGTTCCACAGATCTTAGCGGACTCTGCCTCCTGGTTGGGACCCTGACACCCTGCATCAGAGCCTGTTTCCACCCCAGTCCAGCCCAGGGCCTCCTGCCTCAGCCACTCACCACTGTTCATGGCCCCTGGGGTGTCCCCAGCTCCTGTGAGCCACAGCCTGTTCCCAACCCTTGATTTCTATGTTTAATGGGGCTAGGCGTCCCCTCGCCCCTCAGCCCTGTAGTCCCTCCATTATGAGCCCAGCCAACCCTAGGCCCTACCAGGAGACAGGGGTCAAACACTACAGACAGAATGGCACCTACATGCAGAGCCTGGGATGGGACCAGTAGCTGAAACATGAGGTTCCTTCTCCAGAGCTCACCTGAGTCCTCACCACCACCACCACCCACAGCCCCATGAGGATGACACTAGAGCCCCATTTATCTCAGCAGGGTTCTAGGCAGGTGCTGAAACTGGGAGGCCCAAGTTGCACATTCTGTGACAGAGGCTCATGACAGACAGGTGGTGCTGGGAACAGAGGACCTTGTCTGGGTGACATCACTGAGTCCCAAGTTCTTCCCAGGCCCTGCCCTGCCCCTCTGTGACTTCTTTGCTGAGGTAGATGGGGACTCAGGAGCACAGGCTTCATGGTCCCTCCTGGTGAGGGTCAGTGCTCTAGTCAGGTGAGCATGTCAGCACAGAACCATGAGTCACCCTTTCCTTCAACATAGGTATTGGCTCCTGGATGGTCTAGAATGTTCAAAAAAGACAAATGTGGGATGGATGGGGGTGGGGTGGCCTCTGCCTGGGCCCTGCACACAGACGACATGCTGGTCTGGAGCAGCAGGACTGGAGCCGACTTTAGAGTGTCAGTCTGGGTGCCTGAGCATGTGATGTTGTGGCCAGCAGGCTCCCCCTTACCCACAGGGAGCCCCTGCACCACCCTATGGGGGCCTGGGAGATCAGCCAGTCTACAGGGCCTGGGACCTGGAGAGGCCCAGCCCCTGGACGTATCTCTCATCACCCCTGAGCCCACATGAGGACAAGAGCACACACTCCACTGCCCTTCCCCTGGAAGAACTCTGTCCCGGGAGCACCCCTGGTGTACCACATCAGGGACCAGTCCTGGGGCTTTCTCTCCTCACTCTCCCCATGCACAGATAGCCCCACTTAGACTCTGTGGCAATGGTCTGTCCTTCCTTCCCTCTGCCCTGCCCTCTGTCTTCTCTAGCTCTTCGGGTTGGGTCCTGCCACCCCCAGCTCCCAGCCCTCTACCTCCCCTGCCAACCCCGGGCCAGTGTCTCCCATTTTGCTTGGGCTGTGCTTCATCTAGGACACAGGCCACATCCTATGATGGTGGAGATGTCGCTCTGTGGCCCTGGATCAGAGGCAGGACTGTGAGCTCCTGTAGGTGGGAATGGCAACTACTACATTTCTGTCCCTCCCCCCACCCATCATGGGACCCAGGGTGAACTGGTGCTCAATATTGACAGATGAAAGAATGGAGAAGGCACTGGAAATGGGCAGAGAGCCATGCTGGATTCTAAAGGTCCCGCAGGTCCAGGGTTTACTGACCCTCCCTGGTCAGCACCCACACACATTCAGAGCCATCAGTGCTTATGGGGTCCCCCTTCCTCTGTCAATACAGATCCCAGCTCCTGGCCCTTTCTCCACCTGGGGCTTCCAGAAGATGGGCTTATATGATGCAGCCATTTCAGGGGCTGGAGTCACTTCTCTGAGAATCCAGGGCAGGCTTTGGCCCTGTGTCCAGGCATCTCAGGCCACATTCCGTGGCAAACCTGGGCTGGGGCTCCCAGGAAGCCCAAGGTCTCTGGGCTTGGGAATGCATGGACATAGTGTGTCCCTCCCCTGATGCCCTTGGAGAGGATGGGAAACTACCCACAGGCAGGACCATGGAGCCCTCACAGGTCTGTGTTCCTTAGAAGGTGAGTGCCTTCTAAGGGGTTCAGGGCTTAGGGCTAGGTGGTTGGTGAGCCCTTACCCTCCTTCTGCACAGCCTCCACAGTGCCCACACCAACAATGGGATCAACACCAGGGCCGCTGCGAGCCCCAGGAGTAAATAGGTGTTGTTTGTCCAGCTCCCTAGTGAAAATGCTTCTTCCTCTTCCTCTTCCTTTCCAGCCACACCATGGGCTAAGGTATCAACAACATCCACTATTGTATCTACTGGTACTCGCACTTCTTTTTGACGTACGGTGGGCCGATTCGGCAGTGAATCAATGTCCTCTACTGCATTGCGGCTCTGTGATAGACTAGCCTGATGTGGTTGGTCCTCCTCCGGCCATGATCCAGCATCCTCTGGTTTGTTGCTCCGTGGCAGACTAGCTTGCTGTGAGTGGTCCTCATCCTGCTGTGATCCAGTGTCCTCTAATTCGCTGTCGCTCTGTGAACCAAACTGCTGTACTGTGTCCACATCCTGCCATGAACCAGTGTCCTCTGATCTACTGGTGCTCTGTGGTGGACCAGTGAGTTGTCGTGGGCCTAGCTCCCACCATGGCCCACTGTATCGCTGTGGTACACCGGTGGTCTGTAGAAGAGAGAGATCACCACGGACTATGCCTGGTAAACAGCGCAAATGTCAGCAACCTGGGGAGGGCCTGTGTAGCCCCATTTGCCCACTCTCCCCTTATTGTTAGGTCCCCACCTCTGAGTACCACACTGGGAGTGGGACCTCCTCTGGCTCTGCTCAAAGACTCTGTCTTATAAGTCCCAGGACCTTCTATGGTCTGACAAACCCACCCTCAACCACATATGTCAGTGGATAACTCAGGGATATGGTGAGAACCACTGAAGGGGTGAGGGCCCGGGCTGGGGCAGGAGACCCTGTGCATTGTCTCAAAGCCTCTCTCCCCCACAGCCTGGCTCTCCCACCTTGGGCACATGGACTCATCGCTCTAAGCCTCAGTTTCCACATCTGGACAAAGGGAGGGAGTATCTCCCCAGTGGGCACATGTAGGGTGTAGAGAGATCAGAGAAATTCCTAGCATGGGACCACGTCCGTGTGGGGTGTGAGCAATGGGGACTATTTTCCTGGGTGTTCTTCCCACTGAAGGGAGATCTGGCTGCACCCGTGGGAACACAGCTGCCCAGTCCCCCCCCAAAACCCAAAGCTCTGGGCAGGAAGACTGGGAGGAAGAGGGGAAGAGGGTGCCTGTGCCAGCAAACAGGCTGCTGAAGGAGAGGCACCATCTAGGCTGAGGGCAAGGCTGCTGGCTTGGCTGGAGCCACCAGGCTGCTCCTGAGCTCTCTCCTACACCTGTGTGGTGCCCTCGGGCTGTCAGTGGGTGGCTTCCTAATGACCCATTTGTGCCTCAGTCTGCTGATCCATGCATGGAAGGCAGATTCAGGCACTGTAAGCTCCTGGGCCCTCACTAGCTGAGACTGGGCACAGGGTAGTACAAGCAGGCTCAGGCCTCTGTCCTGGCCCCCAGCATATCCTCCTGTCATCCTGCCCTGGCCCACGTGCACGAATCATGGGAAGCACTGAAAAGCAGGCACCTGGGTGCAGCTCCTTCATCCCCAGGAACCCCTTTCTGCACTGAACTGTGGCCCTCACCCTTGGCAGCTTCTCCTTCAAGGCAGGGGACACACACCATGGAGGTCAGAGGGTGGACAGGGATGGCTCAGGAGCCCGAGAAAGCAGGAGAGGCAGAAAGGAGCTGAAGTCTCTGCATGACAGCAGGTGTTCACCAGGCTGGCCTGGGGGCCTGAGGGTTGTGAGTGAGTTTGGGGCCAGGGTGGCAGTAGGGACCCTTACTCAGTCACACACACCTTGGCTGTAGCCTGTGGAATCCTCCAGATCCCCTGTACCTGGGGTACCAACATGGAGGGCTAAGTACCCTAGATGTTCTGGACTCTGGCTCCCAGGAGCCAGTCCTGCAGCCTTACCCTCCTGTTCCACCTGGGAGCCAGGATGGAACCACTCTAGCTGCCTGTCTGCTCAAGCAATTTGGGATTACCTGTAAACCAACCACCCTCTCTGGGCTCTCTAGGCTGCACCTGTGTCTAGTGCAGAGATTCTAGACAACCCGAGGTGAAGTGTTAAATTGTCCACACCTTGCATTCCAGTACTCACACAGGTGGTGCTCTTTATGCTGACATCATTGGAGAGGAAGGTTCTGCCACCGGTCAGGCTGACTTCAACAAAGATTTGCCTTAAGTACAGAAAAGGCAGATGGTGAGACCCTCTGAGAGGGACACAGCTCTTGCCCTTGGTTCAAACCAATCATACATCAGTCTCCTTCTAGTAATGACTCTGAACATCAGCACTGGGAGAGCCAAAAAGAGCCACAGCACAGGCTCCAAGCACTATGAGGTCAGCCTCAGCAGTGATGGCCAACAGTCAGGCAGGGAGAGGTCCTGCATGGAGGTTAACACCACTGTAAAAATTGGCTGCTTCATGTCCCCATTCAGACCCTCTGTATTTGTAGTGTGTGCTGGCTTAGATTTGAAAAGTGACCTGGAACAAATGTACCATTCCTTCGACATATCATATCCTGCATCTTGCCTTCCTCAGCAGACCTTCACATGTCCCTGAATACCTTGGAGGTTACCAAAAAGGGCAGGTAGGGGAGGGTGGCCTTAGCCCACTTGCAGACAGACACATGCTGTCTCAGCAGAGGGGCATCCCACATTCTGTATATGTCATGGTGACAAGTACCGACCACATGATCTCCTGCCCACTAGAGCCCCTACCAGGGGCACTCACTGTCCAGATATGCTCATCTTTGGTCCAGGGCAAGTGATGGTGGTCTCATCCACACTGATTGGTTTTGCATCTAAAAGGAAATGACATGGGAATGTCAGTACATACATCCATCTGCCATCCCTCTCCCACACCTGACCTCAACAAGCAGAGCTGACACTTTGGCCTGGCACCAGCTTCTCCTCTGTGCCTTCCTCTATTCACAGACCCCCTGGCTGAGCTCCCAGATGCCCCAAGTCCTGTGCAGAGCTGTGGGGTTTAACAGGAATGAGTCAGGCAGAGCCCCCTGCTCTCAAGGGACTTAGTGTCTAGGGCCTGCAGGTGTGACAGACAACAAAATGAAACTCAAGGAGGAAAGCACATGGCAGAGAGTGCCAAGGGCCGTGCATGGGCAGAGGGGAGAGGGAGGGGAGGGGAAGGAACAGGCTCATTTCTGTGTGAAGCTCTTCAATTCTATTTCATTTTCTTTTTCTTCGATCATCTTCAAGTAAAATTCAATTTATTATGCTGAATTTAAGAATGTTAATAGTACTTTTTCTGTTTGGGTTTAGGGCTAATGCTTTTATTTTATTTCCCTATTCCCAACAGTGTATAATATTTTTAACAAAAATTATAATTAGTATTTAAAATTATAAAATCTGTGACTTAAAATATAATTTTATAATATTATAACAAAATTTCTTTATCCATAGAAGCATTTTCTTTTATCTTTCTCTTTTCCACATAGGCCAGGGTTATTCTTCATGCAATGGCTCATATCCCCCATGTGGCAAAGTGTATTGGTCTTAACTCAATAAACAGATTAGCCATGAATTTCTGAGCCACTTGATCCTTCATTGATGCTAATAATTAGAACTAGATATAAAAATTGATTGCACGATGCCAGGCATGGTGGTTCATGTGCATTCATTGCTTGAGCTCAGGAGTTCGAGACCATCCTGAGTAAGAGCTAGACACTGTCTCTACTATAAGTAGAAAACAATAAAAACTAGCCAGGCATTGTGCCAGGTGACTTTAGTTCTAGCTACGTGGTAGGCTGAGGCAAGAGAATTGCTCAAGCCCAAGAGTGTGAGGTTGCTGTGAGCTATCTTGCCAGGGCATTCTACTGGGGGTGACAGGGTAGGCTCTGTCTCACTTTAAAAAAAAAAAAAAAAGATTGGGTGAAAGAATTTGCCTCTGAGAGGTGGAATAGTTGACAGTAACTGGGGAAAAATCCCCAAGGAGGTATAAATTGACTTTCCAGACCGGTGTTCAGAGCAGCATAGGGAGTTGGAGGGGAGGGCAAGTGGCCAGCACCTGGAGACAGCAGTTCAGTATCAGGATGGGCAGAGGGCCCAGAAATGCCTGGATGCTGGGAAAAGAGGATTCCAGCCAAGATCAACTGATGGAAGAGAATATTTCACTTGCCATGTGAAAACTTTTTCAATTATAAAGCTATGGCACTCTAAGGAGAGAAAACACAAAGCATATAGAAACCCTGAGTTTTAAATATGTTTTAATAATGCTTCTCTATTTCTAAACTGTTCCCCAGGTGCTTTCATCAGAGGAAAAAGCAATTAAGAACAACAAAATCAGTCCTCAACAGAGCATCTGAGCTCCCTGCAATTCACACCAGGTTCAGTCCTTCCTGGCTCAGACACCCACCAGGAGCAGAGAGGCCATCTGCAGAGGCACCAGGACAACTACACAGGTTCTCTCAAAGGAGACATGGGGCTGGTCCACCTTGGAGAGAGACTGATGACCTACAGGAAAGCAGAGCACCCACAGGGCAGCAGAGGAAGCATTTGATTGCCCTTTCTAGGAGTGGGCTGGGCCTCACCTTCCCCAAGAACATTCATCTCAGGGAGGCAGAGGAACCAGCAGGGCAGGGCAGACAGATTTGCTGGGTCTATTTCCCACCTCTGCCTGGGAGCTGTCTATCACTCCTGCCTCTGGTTTTCCACCATACAAGGGATGGAGAATTCATGGAGATAGGCTGCATAGGGCACTTGGCACAGTATCTGACATAAGAAGTGCTCAATAAACATTAGCTCTTCCTAAGAAGGAGTTGCTTATTCCTTAAGCTACTCCTGAGAAAATATTGCACAATGAAAACCGAATTCTGTTAGACGATCCACACACATTTCTGCCAAGTGGGAATGTGGCAATGATGGCCCCTGCCCCATTCTCTATACATGTGCAAAGGAGGGGGGATGGGCAAAAAGCCCCTTGGGGGAAAGGAGTCATTATGAGTTCAGCAGAATGGGATTAAAATGTCAGGGAATACAATTTAATTAGATTAGACGATTGTATCAGGAAGCCAAGTGAGAAGGTTAAGGAGGGCCTAAGAAGTCTAGCTGTGCCCCAGGCACCCAGTCAGGAGAGCACACCCACCTCAATGCTGAGGGCCCACTGGACTGTGTGCTTCCTCAGGCCACTCTTCTGTTGCAAAAATATCCTCAATGCCTAACAATCACCAAATAATTGGAGAGAGAAGGATTAAATGGCTGACTAGATGTAGGTTGTATATGCCTACTCCACAGACAGGAACCAGCAAATTAAGTAGATACATTTTTAAGAGACTATCTAGGACAGAATGCTAGAAATTCATCAGTTAAGTGACAAAAAGTACCAAAAGTAATGAAGGAGAGGATTCAGAGCACCTTGCATGGCTGGGAACCGTGTGAGAGCTGGGAGAAGTGCCTGGACTCAGCAAAACCAGGAGAGAAAACCCCCACAGGGCTCCATACTTTATAACGAGCTTTTATAATCTTGGCTACAAGAGAATTCCCTGATACATGCAGGCCTTGACATATGTAAATCAATAAATATCTCAGATCAATGGAACTAAGGAAACAAATCATATGATCATCTAAACAGACATAGAAAAATCATTTGAAAAAATTAGGGATTCCTTCATGACAAAAACCCTCAACAAATGGAGCATAGAGGGAACATAACTTCAAAATAATAAAGGCTTTATATGAGAAATCCATAGCCAACATCACACTGAACAGGGAAAAACTGAAAAAATTCTTTCTAAGAACTAAAACAGGATAAGGATTTCCACTATCACAAATCTTATTCCACATTGTACTAGAAGTTGTAGCCACAACATTAAAGTGAAAGAAAAAAAAAGACACCCAAACTGAAAAGAGAAAGTCAAATTATTCCTGTTCACTAATGATCCAATCTCTAGAAAACTCTAAAATATTCCACAAGACTCTTAGATTTTATAAATGAATTCCGAAAAATTTCAGGACACAGAATCAATGTACAGAAATCAGTAGTGTTTCTATATACAAATAACAATCTAGCTAAGAGTCAGATCAAGAGGGTATTTCATTGACAAAGGCTACAAAAAATAAAATACCTAGGAATATCTAACCAAGGAGGTGAAAGACCTTTACAAGGAAACTGCAAAGTACTGATGAAAGAAATTGTGGATGACACAAAGAAATGAAAAAATATCCCATGCTCATGTGTGAGAAAAGTTAATATTGTTTATGTGATTACACTGCCCAAGGCAATGTATGGGTTCAATGCAATCTCTATCAAAATACCAACATTGTTTTTCACCAAAGTAGAAGAACAATTCTAAAGTTTATATGGAACCAATATAGACACTGAACAGACAAATCTATCTTAAATAAAAAGAACAAAGCTGATGGCATCACATGGCCTGACTGCCTGACTTCAAATTATACTATAAAGTTATAGTAACCAAAAGAGCATGGTATGGTACCAGTATAAAAGTAAACACATAGATCAATGAAACATAATAGAGAACCCAGGAATAAAGCCAAATACTTATAGCCAATAAATCTTTGACAAAGTCTAGAAGAATATGTACTAGGTAAAGGATAGCCTTTTCAGTACATGGTGCTGGGATAATTGGCTTGTCATATGCAGTGGAATGAAACTGGACTCCAATCTCTCACCATATAGAAAAATCAACTCAAGGTAAATAAAGAATTGAATATAACACCTGAAAAATTAAAAATACTAGAAGAAAACTCTTCTGAATATTGGTCTAAGCAAAGAATTCATGAGTAATATTTCAAAAGCAAAGGCAATAAAAACAAAAATAGGCAAATGAGACTTAATTGAACTAAAATCTTCAGCACAGCAAGAGATACAATCAAACAGAATGAATAGAGAATCTGTGGAATGGGAGAAAATGCTTGCAAAATAAATATTTGACAGTGGACTAATATCCAGAATTCATGAGGAACTCAAACAATTCAACAACAATAACAACATAAGCCCAATAATCTCATTAAAAAGTGGGCTAAGGACCATGATAAACATTTTTCAAAAAAGGACAAATAATTAGCAAGCATATGACATTAGAGAAATTTAAAATGGTAATGAGATACTGTGTGAGACCAGTCAGAATGGTTATTACTAAAAAGGACAAAAACAGCAGAGATTGGTGAGGATGTAAAGGAACTCTTGTATATCTCTATGGAAAATAGTGTGGAGAGTTCTCAAATAACTAAAAATTGACCTACCATTCAATCCAGCAATTCTACTACTGGGTATCTACCCAAAGAAAAAGGAATAATTATATCAAAAAGTTAGCCGCATTCACATGTTTATTGTAGCTCTATTCACAATGGCAACCTATTTGTTCATAAAGGAAAGGTTAGATAAAATGTGGTACATAAACACAATGGAATACTATTCAGCCATTAAAAGGAATGAAATCCCATCTTTTGCAGCAACATGAATGAAACTGGAGGCCATTAAGTGAAATTCAGGCACAGAAAGGCAAATACTGCATGTTTTCACTCACAAATGGGAGCTAAATAACGTGTATGCATGAAGCAGAGTATGGAATGATGGGCAATGGAGACTCAGAAGGGTGGGGGTGGATGATGGGAGGCTGCTTGTTGGGTACACTATCAATCTGTGTTGCTCCAATGATGGGCATTCTGAATGCTCTGATTTCACCACATCAATGTAGCAAAATTGCACTCGTATCCCCAAATATATACAAATATAAAAAATTATAAAGCCTTTTCCATGAACCAAATGCTCTACCCACGTGACCTTACTCAGTGCAACTACAGTTTAAATGCCCTTAATTCAAAAATAAAAAATTCAGAATGATCCAAAATCTGAAACTTGAAGGCCAACAGCAGGCTTAAAGGAAATGCTCATTAGAACATTTTGGCTTTTGGAGGATACTTACCAACGGCTTTGGTTTCGCTCAACTTGAATCTGCAAATAACATCATCCTGCTCCTTTGCATTATTAAAGCCGAATCCATGAACAACTATTTGCTTGGGTTCTGCAAGGGTAACATTCAAATTCTGAATGAGGAAGAGGGGAGGGCTGTGTTCACTTTGATCTCACTGTTAATGGCAGTCCACCCCCAAACCAAATCCTAGGGGCCTCCTGCAAGGAAGCAGCTGTGCCTTAATGAACATCTGTGTTTCTTCCAGGCTAAATCCTCACCTGATATCCCTGAGGGTCCAAGGGGAGAAGGCTGGGCCTTGAGTGTTCAGGTGGCCTCTTCCTTTGGCCCCTGACCCAAGGAGTCCATGAAAGGCATCTGCCTTAGCTCTTCCACAGGGCAATGTCAGCCAGGACTATCCTATCCTCAAACCTTTAAGTGCTCTAAGGCCTCAGGGATGAAATCTGTGCCATATTGAGCAGTGATGGATGGCTGCCAACTTTCAAGAAGAATGGCAGATGAAATTCCCTTGGGCTGGGCAAGGGCGAAGACTGTGACAACTACACACTACCACAGCTGCTTAGACAGAAATGGAACACTACTGACCAACTTTTAACAGGTGTGTGCCCTAATGTCCTAGGTAACTAGGGAGCCATGTGTACAGAGAGATACCATCAGGTGTCCACAGCAGCATGGACAGTAGTCATAGTAACAATCAGGAACCATCTCCATTTTTCACCCCGAGAGATTGATGAAATAAATTAGGTCCATCCATATAATGGGATATAGATTGAGCATTTCTTATTCAAAATGTTTGGGATGAGAAGACTTTTGGTTTTCAGTTTTGTTTGGATTTTGGGATATTTGCATTGTACTCACTGGATGAGCATCCTGCATCTGAAATTCTGCAACTCTTTTTTTTCTGAGACAGAATCTCACTATGTCATCCTTGATAGAGTGCTGTGGCACAAAGCAACCTCAAACTCTTGGGCTTAAGTGATTCTCTTGCCTCAGCCTCCCAAGTAGCTGGGACTACAGGCACTCACCACAATGTCTGGCTATTTTTTGTTGCAGTTGTCATGGTTTAGCTGGCCCGGGCTGGGTTCAAACCCACCAGCCTCCTGTGTATGTGGACGACACCCTACTTACTGGGCTACGGGCAACACTTGAAAATCTAAAACTCTTTAACATTTCCTGTAATCACCAGGTCTGTGCTCAAATAATTTATAATATAATTTTGGAATATTTTGAATTTCAGATTTTCAAATTTAAAACATTTAACCTGAACTATGCAGGAGGTTGAAAATATTGTACCACATGATCCCATTTACGTGAAAATATCCTTCTAAAGAATAGGTAGATATACTATTCAGCCATTAAATAAAAATGGAGACTTTACGGCCTTTGTATTAATGTGGACGGAAGTGGAACACATTATTCTTAGTAAAGCATCACAAGAATGGAGAAGCATGAATCCTATGTACTCAATTTTGACATGAGGACAATTGATGACAATGGGACGGGGTGAGCAGAGAGAGGAAGGAGGAGGGAAGAGTGGGGAAGGGATTAGCAGAGGGAGCGAAGGAGGGAGAGGGTAGGATCTTGGTGTGTGCCACACCTTTTGGAGGCAAGACACGATTGTAAGAGGGACTTTACCTAACAAATGCAATCAGTGAAACCTGGTTTCTTGTACCCTCAATGAATCCTCAACAATATATTTTAAAAATAAAAAAAAAACGAACAGGTAGATAGATACACATATCTGTGTATAAATTATCAACTGTTAATGGCAGTTGTCTTTGGGAAAAGAGGAGGATCAGACCAAGAGGGAACATTGCCAAATGGAGGGACAGCAATTGTCCGGGCTGGATGCAGGTGTGTCCTTTGCCCAGAACTGCCCCAACCACTCCACATAACAGGTTTCCCAGGCATTTTATGGACACATGGTACAGTAGCCCCTGGACACAGGACCTCAGGGGAAAGCCTCTTTACATCATGTCCTACTGTAGGCCACCACTAGAAGTCCCCAGTCCATGGGCTTGCAAAAACAGGCACCAGTCTGGGTCAGTCAAAAACAGGAAAAAGAATGTCACATAGCCTGCCTCCTGGGTTTATACAGCAACAAACTTGGCCTGGACAAATCATGGAGCCAAGGTCCTCAGTGCAGGGAGGTAGACCTTCCTTCCTCCTCCACCATTCCCTTGCTGTGATGATTTCAAACAGGCAAATTCTCATATGGATGAAAAACTCAGAATAGTGGCAGTCTCAAGGGCACACCAGGGACCCAGAGGAACGTCTAGGGATACAGTCTGGGGGTCTTGGTAATATTCTTCATCCTCACAGAATCTGGGGTGGCGCAGATATCATGTGCTCTTATCAAAGTCTTCGATGATATGCTTTTATTTGTGTATTTTAAAAAGAAAATTTAAATGAATATTGGCCTCTAACTAGAGGTATGCAAAATGAAGGGTTGAAGTGCTTAGGAGTAAACAGCCTGATATACATAACCTACTTTAAAATGTATCAAAAAATAAGATGGACTGATGGGGGTTGTGGCCAAGCAGAGAGGAAGCATAGTTTGTTTTACAAACATTAGTTGTAAAAATCCTGGTAACAGGTACATAGATACAGGAGTGTTTATTCTGCAATACTTTGTGCTCTGCTGTAGGTTTGAAAATTTCCATAATAAAAAATTGCAAGTAAAGCAAAGAACTGAATGAAAACTTATGTGGTGGACACAGACATCGAGAAGTCACAGTATATCCTTGGTGACAAGTGACTTATGAGAGGGACAGACCCAGACCAAGAGTTGGAGGAAGTCACAGGGGACCGTCCATGAGGGAAGGCTTCCAGAGTGAGGTGTTCCATAAGTGGGGCCCTATAGAATGGGTGGGCTCAGTCCTTAAAGCTGAAGAAGAGCTTATAGACAGCCTGAGACCCCATCACCCCTGCCTCTGCACAGCTGGGAGCCAGAACACAGACTGGACCCTGGAGGGCCTGGTGATCCTGCTAAGGGAACTCAGGTACCCTGGCCAGTTGGGCTGAGGGGAGTGATCACCTCAGAGTCTTCAAGCCCTGTGTGGAGGTGGGGTTGGAGGTCAGGCCTAAGGCAAGGAGGCCAGTGGGGGCCTCTGCCACACTGGGTGTGAGGCCCAGGGCCTGAACACTGGGTTCTGGACAGCCTGCCCTCCCCTGGCCTCCCCTTTTGGGTTCCTTGGCCCTTTTTTTTTCTCAGGGACAGTCTGGTGCAACAGCTCATTCTACTCCATGTGGGGTCAGGATCCTGCCTTGGGCTTTCCCTGCATGGGACTGTCACAGTGTAAAGGCAGTTTTGCATAAATCAGTTGACAGGCAAGGCCTGGGAGCACTGGCCATGTGGGCAGAGGCAGTGAGCTGAGCTGGTGGGCTGAGGCACCTGTCACCTCGACTCAGATGCTGCAAGGAAGGCGTGACAATTCACATTCTCACCTGGGCCTTGACAGGGCTACTCTGATGCCACAGCCTTTGTGTGTCCAGGGGACATCAGCGGCTGCAGCTGTCAGGCCAGCTGCATGACCAGGCAGCTTTACATCAGGAGCAACAAGAAAAGACCCTTTGGGGCAGGAGGGGTCTCTATCCCCCTGAGCACAGCAGCCCCTTCTCCACCCCCACTGCTTGCACAGCATGAGGACAGGGACCAGAGCTCAGGACCAGTGATGGAAATATCAGCACCAGCTACTGCTGCTCGGGTCCTGTGCCAGCTTCTACACACCCCATGGCCTGTACATCTCACGACTCCAGGGGTAGCGTCATTTCTGCTCATGGGAGGCTGAGCCGGAGCTGGCAGTTGTCTGACCAGGATTGGACACGAGGCTGCATGCACACAGGTGCAGAGGTCACACTTAAGCATGGTCTAACTATCCCCAAAGCCTAACACAAGGTTGCCTTAGTTAGGAATATGAAGGCCAGAACCCATGGCTGGCCTGGAGCTTCCCTGGGAAGCAAGGAAGCCCAGGGCAGCCCGAGTTATACAGAACCCATTGATGTCAGGACCCAGCCCTCACCCACAGAGCTCAGTATAAAAATGGGCATCTCCTCCCTAGACCACACAAGGATGTCCCCATCATATTGGTACAGAGACCTTGGCTGGTGGAATAGTGTCCTTGTCACATTCCTGGCCTCAGGGACAGGTGCCAAGTTGTAAACCCTCAGGCTGTGCACACTGGGAGTCTGCGTGGACACCTTGTCACAGGCTGTACAGGTCCCAGTTCCCAGTGAGATGCAAGATGTGGGACTGTGCCCAATTCCTTCTCTTCACCCACTGAGTTAACCGCCTTGTTTCTCCCCCTAGTTTATTGATGTGGTGACAGAGATTTCTCCGACCTTGAATCAGCCTGAGCTCTGGGCTGAGCCCTGATTGCTCTTGTCTCTTTTTATGTTACACACTCACACACGCATACAGGCATAACACACACAGCTCCTACACAGCACACATATACAACACACTGCACATAAACACACACACCAAATACACCACACACATGCCACACATAGCACACACCTCATACACACCACATACATGCACAGCACACACAGTTTGCACACTCATGGACACCACACACAGCCCTGTCGACAGCAGTGATGCCTGAGCTCTTACCTGCACCTCCCACACACACAGTGGAGGGATCCACAGATCTAATCTCAAGACAGGCCTTTGTTGCGATCTAGAATAGAGAAGGGTGGAAAGGGGCAGGGAGTGTGAACCTTGACGCACTGGCACCAGGCTGCCCGTCCCCTTGCTTCAGCCCCACTCACTCTGTCCACTAGGTCATACAGTGCCGCCAGTCCACTATCCATTGCAAACATGTGCTCTGCGCTGTCTGCGATTAATTCTACCTACAGAGAAAAGAGGTGGCTGGGAGCCCTAGCCAGGGGGTGAGGATGCCCTAGGTCCCCAGGCCCAGAACACAGTGTCTTGCCTTCAGGCCATGGGGACAGTAGGTAGAAGACTCTGAGGGCCAGAGCCTGGTTTTGCCAGCAGCCCATTCTCAGGGAGAACTTTCCACCCTTTCCTCTGCTGTGGGAGGATTTTAAAAACACCTTGTTAATCCTCTCTGCAGAGGCCCTGAATCCTACGGGGGGCGGGTTATAAGGGAATCCTCTGGGTGCCTGCCTTAGATGCCTTTCCCCAGCAGGGCTCAGTACTGGACCTGATTACCTGTTCTGAATTACCTGCTGTCTGTTATACTTGCTCACACCCACGCAGTAAACGTTCGCCCCCATTCTCCGAGCTTTGTTAAGCTAAGAGAAAGAAGGCATTGAGTGTAAGTCACCAAAACACATGCAGCAAAGTGCTGATAACGATGCACTGGACTCACTTCTTCCTTCGTCTTCTTAAAATGTTCTGGCATCAGTTTTCCACTGAGCAAAATCATAATCATGCTGGAAACCTTGGTGTCTGCAGGTGAAGCCAGGAGTGGACAGGTCGGCACGGGCACCAGGACTGACTTCCAGAAGCTCCACGACTGCTCCAGCCTGCCATGGCCACAGCACTGCCCACTTCAGGATACAGCCAGGTGCTGCCCACCCCTCACTTCCCGGGGAGAGGCTGCCCAGACCTGAGCACCTGCCACCCAGACACTCCTAGGGTGAGAAGGGCCTCAGCCCAGGACCCATTTTATAGATGGGGGTCTGAGGGGGGTCCAGGCCCTTCCTGGCAGGCTGCCTGGCCTCTCCGTAACCACCAGAGAGGACACCCTCTGCTGAGGGCAGCTTCAGCCATGACTCCACATTCATGAGCCTGTGCCTGGGTGAAGGGGGGTCAGCTAGACCCTCCTATGAAAAGCAGCCTCAGGAGGCTACATGGGGTAGGTCTGGCTCCCAGCAGAGCCTGGGGCACTCCTGCTGTCAGCACTGGGCCCAGGGGTTCAGACCTCTATGTCAAAGCCCCCAGGGCAGGGGTCCCTGTGCTACCTGCCACCTTCCCTGTGAGGCCCTCTTGACAAGAGCTGCAGCCCCAAGATGTGGGGTACAAAGGGTCGGCTGGGCCCTGCATGGCCTTTTGCACCTCTGAGACACAGTCCTGGGATGCAAGTTAGCAGGAGGGAACACAGGACAGGAGAAGGAGGACCAAGGTGAGCCCCCGAGGGGGATGCCAGCTGTTCCCTCAGGCCCTGGGCTTCCTCTTTTCCTTTCCCATAGCCCAGCTGTAGGGCCAGGCCCTGAAGTTTACCAAGAACCAGGAGGAGCACACACACGTGATCTCAGGGGGCTCTCAGGACACCCTGGACCAGAGATGGTCAGGCTCACTGCACAGGGAGGATCCCAGAGCCCAGAGCAGTGGTGCCACGTGTCCCCCGCTCCACCCCCAGCCACAGGAATCTTCACACAGACCTCCCTGAGGCCGGTCTGTCCCCTGCCCACACACCTTGCACTCAGCTGGCCCTTACCTCCAGAGTTGGCTTGTCGAATCTGCTCATTTGCCTGTAAAGAAATGAAAAAAATACTGGGGAAAGTAGTGAGGTGAACCTAGTACTGATCTAAGATCTTATAAGCTAGAATAGATTCTCTGAGGTCTAGGGATCTGTACCTTTTTAACTCCTTCCTCCAGGGCTATATCTCCACCAGGTTCAATATCCTCCATCAGGGTAAGTTGCTCACGCATGGCTTTTCTGGAAAAAAAAAAAGTATTAAAAAAAGAGATTGAGCTGGAGAGGTTTGACTGTTAAAAAACATCTCCTTAACTGTCCTTGAGCCATTGTCTAATGGGAAGATCTGCCTGGGTGGGGGATGGCGCTAGGCATGTGCTGTGTTCCCCCCATTCCTCACTGTGCTGTGCTCCCCCCCATTCCTCACTGTGCTGTGCTCCCCCCATTCCTCACTATGCTGTGTTCCCCCCATTCCTCACTGTGCTGTGTTCCCCCCATTCCT